TTACTTAAACCAGCTTTGTGTAAGGCCATCCTTAGCTATCTCAATTTCTTAGATTATAGGGTTGTTTTATTTGACTCCTTTTTTATTTTTTTTTCTTGTTTTTTTTATTAATAAATATAGTTTCTTATACTTCAAAGCTATTCCTAAACTATATTTATAATAATAAAATTATATTTTTTATAATTTTTCTTCTTATAGAAATGAATTATTTTCATGACTCTCTTTGCACAACATATTATTGAAAAGTTAAGGTTCTTAGACATAAGAATGTTTTGTTTTATGAAATGAGTTTGGTTATAAATTGTTCAAAAACAACAAACTATATTTACAAAAAAGTGATAAAAAAACTTAAAATTTAAGTTAGAATTAAATCAATGAAAGGATTATCAGCAAATGAAATTAAAAATTATCTTGAAGACACCGCATTTCTAAGAGACTGTATGAACAGTCTACAACAATACACTAGTACTATTGTTACATTATTTCAACAACTTCATACTGAAATGGCTAGTTTTTCAAGTAAATTACAAGAAATGGGAAATATGAGAGAAACGATGAATATGAATCAATTAAAGTCAAGAATGTTAGAACCATTATTAATTTTTGCACAAACACAACAACAATTATCAGAAATATTTTATGACATTCAATCAGCTGCCAAAAGCATTAACCAATCAATTATTGATACTCAACAAATATATATTAATCCATTATTTAATTCATTACAAACTCATAACTCTCAAAGTAAATGGAATATTTGGTCTTGGTGGAGTCAACCAAATCAAGAATTTACTGATGCAACAAAAATTCAATTAACATTAACATTAGGTAGTTGGGAGTTCAAATTAAAATTAGGAGGAACAATGGAAGCGATCTATCGAGCATTTCAAGATGGGTCTATTAGTGCTAGTGGAGATGAAAATTTTACAAAAACTATGACAAAAGCAAGAATAGAAAAAACAAAATATTTCATGAAATACAAGAGGTGTCAAGGTGGTTATCAAGGTAAAACCTTAGACCAAATTTTAACAATGGAAGAGCGTGAAGGTTCAATCCCTTCTGGTATTGAAAATATTATTGAAAATATTAAAGCAAATGGATATACTACTGAAGGTATATTTAGACTATCTCCTAGTGAAAAAGATATTAGGGATGTTTATGATAGATTAGGTGTAATTGACTTCGAAGGATTAGACTACATTTTAATGGCTGCTGTATTAAAAAGATTCTTTAGAAATCTTCCTGAAAAAGTATTTAATCGAATTAATACTAATAAAGCCCTTTCTATAAACAAAATAAAAGCTTATAATATTGGGACATTAAAAAGTTTTATTAAAGGATTACCAAAGAATAATATTATGATTATAAAACAATTATTTGGACTTTTATATAAAATTAATACTTATTCAGATACTAATAAAATGAATGCTCAAAACTTGGCTACTATATGGATTCCTTGCTTATTTGAAATACCACAAGAAAGCCCAGTTGTGTTCTCTTGTAGACTTAATGAATTAAAGACATTTTTTGTTGCACTAATAGACAATTATTATGAACTATTTCCTGATTTTAGTGATAGAAAATCATTAAGGCTATCTTCTTGCAGAAAGTCATGTCATCAAAGAACACTCACTCGGTCACAATCAGAATGGGCAGCCAGTTCTGAGTCTGTTGATAAAAATATTAAATAATATTTAATTCCGTAATTTTCTTTAAATTCAAAGTATCTAAATAAAAAAAAATAAAAAGTCAAAAATTAAACTTCAAAACGAAAGAATTTTGGTGTGAAGAAGTGATTAATGCACCGAAGAGGAACAAAACAAAATAAAAAAAAAAGTTGTTGTAAAGGAAAGTCTAAACCAACAACACCAGAAAAACAACCTCATCCACCAGCTGAACCTTTTGATGATGAACACCATTCTGTAAGAACAATTACTTTTCAAAATGGAGAAGTAATAGATGATAGTTATGACCAAGGAACAACAGAAGATAATGATCTTTTTCTTGCAAGGCAAGTCTTAAAAAATATTACTCATAATACTGTTAATACTATACATGAAATGATAGACGATATTACTATTCAAGAAAGAAAAATGATTAATTCAGTTAATCGGAATTATGAGAATTTAGTACGTGAACTAAAATTCTCGTTTGATTGTGACAGTGTTGTTGTAGAACTACCTTACGTAAGAAGAATTTATGGAGTTGATGAATTAATTGAAATAAAAAGAAAACAAGACGAAGAAATGACTCAGTTAATGAAAGATATTAACAGTCTTTTTGGTGAATGTGAAAAGAGACACATTAGTATTAATAATATGAAAACTAAGATAATAAAATCAATTGAGAATTATAACAAAACAACAAAAATAATTCTTAACAAAATAGAACCAAAAAAACAACAATAAGAACAAAACTGTTTAATTGTATCTTTTTTTGTTATTTATATTAAAAAAAAATGATATATTAAAAAATAAAGAAAAAAAAAACTAGGGAAATGGTTAATAAGAAATAAATTAAAAAGAATAATAAAACATTAAAAAATAAAGAAAAAAATAAGTTAGGGTATAAAGGAGAATTAAGATTTCTTAGTGTGATGGCTACCCAAAAGAGTGAAGTCACTATCAGAACAAGAAATCTGATAGTTAATCCATTACTTTGCAGAAAGCAAGTAGTTGTTGATATTTATCATCCAGGAATTGTTCAACCAAAATTCACTGAAATTAAAGAAAAGCTTGCTAAAATGTACAAGGTAAAAGACGTTCAAACTATCGTTCTTAATGGGTTCGTCACTAAGTACGGAGGAGGAAAAACTTCAGGATTTGCATTGATTTATGATACACTTTCTGCTTTAAAGAAGTTTGTTCCAAAACATCAATTAATTAGAGCTGGTTTGGATAAGAAGACTAAAGCACCAAGAAAGGCTAGAAAGGAACATAAGAAGAAATGGAGAATGTGCCATTCATTCAAAGACTATAAGAAGAAAGAAATGAAGAAAGCATCTAGAAAGAAGAAGTAAGAGATAGTAATTGAATTGATGTGCTCAATAAATTTTTGATATATAAAACTAAATATTCTTTTTCTTTTAAAAAACAATCTAATAAATTTTTTGGTTTATAGGATTCCTCATTGAGATATAATATGAAGATAGTTTCTTTTTTATCATTAATGAAAACTTAAAAAATGAAATTAAAAGACAGAGAACTTAAAAAGAAAATATAATTGTTGATGTGTGAATTTGCTGCACACTTTGTTCATGGATTTTGTGATAAGGATAAAGACAAATTAGTAAGAAAAGAAGATTTATTTCCTTTATTAATTCAATTTTTACAAAGTGAAGATCCTCAATATAAAATTGGATTTGAGAACTACTTATTTGATTTGTGTGATGTTGATGAAAATAAGGCATTGGATATTACAGAATTTCTTCATTTAATGAAATGTTTGGAAATCTTTGAAAGTCAAAAAGGTCAAAGCAAGAATCTTACAACAATGATGGCTTTATTTAGGGCTATTGATTCAGACGGAAATGCTTCTTTAAGTGCAGAAGAAATTACTAAGGCATTAGATAAATTACCTAATGACTCCTCTGTTAATGAGGAAATTAAATCTGCAGTTAAGAAAATTAAAGAGTATTGTGGGTTATTAGGAGGGAGAGAAATTAACGAAATGGAATTCCTTGGAATTGTTATTCCACCAAGTGATTTTCAACAATACAATCAACAAGTATTTTCCTCCTTATTTGAAAAAGGTGATAAAGATCATTCTGGTATGATTTCTGTTAAAGAACTTAAAACGTTATTTAAGCAAATGTATCCAGATGGTGTTGATGAACGAAAAGCACCTGAAATAATTATTAAATTGTTAGATGAAACTGGAAAAGGTGAAATTGATAAAAATCAATTTGCAACATTTGCTTGTGCTGTTGCTGGAAATGACGTTACCATTAGATGCTTAACTAAAACAAGATTTTATGAAGCTATTTTTAAAATACTTGATTCTGATAAGAGTGGACTATTAGAAAGAGATGAAACAACAAAATTATTAAAGTCTATGGGACTTAATGAAAAGAAAATTGCAAAATGGTTTGAAAAAATAGGAGAAGAGCCTTTGACTTTAAATAAATTCCTCGAAATTTATTTAAAGAAGTAATTCTTATGTTTTTGTTTAATTTATTTTACGTCATTAATTTTTAAACAATAAGGTATTGTTCAACATTAGAAGAGAGGTATTTAGTAATACATCATTAAATAAATAAACTTCTCCAGTTCTTATATTCTAAGGTTGTGGTTTATACTTTTTAATTCATGATGTTTAAATAAAAAATTTTTTTATAAGACATTATAAAATGTTATATTCTTTCTTACAACTGATACTCTTTTTAATATAAACGGTTCTTATTTATATGAAAACTGGTATTTTTTATCACTTAAACATTTTTTGAATAAGACAAAACTGGTTTAAAAATCAATTTCTATTTGGTTGTCTGTTTATTTTATTAAAAAATATTGATTTATAATAATTCTTTTAGACACTCAATTTCTTTTAAACTGAATCATTACTAATACTCTCTTTAGTTAAATTAAAAATAATTATTCATATATTCCTAACTATTACGTATAAATGAAGTTACTAAAATAATTTTTGAAGGTTATTTAATCATATTTTTATTCATTTGAAAATGTTATTTCTATAATGGAAATAGTCTAACAAAACTAACTGGGTGTTGATACATTATTGATTGTTTCAAGTTGATGACGAATTATGTATATAATTTATATATTTAAGTTTCTTTAATAATATTAGTTCAATCCCAAGTTATTAAAAGCTTGGTTGTTAATATTGTATAATATGGAGTATCAAGTAAAAGAAAAAACAGTCAAATAATAACATCAGAAAAATACTTTCTTAATACTATATTACATATAATTAATTATTTTTGTTGTAATGGTATTGATTTTTCATATTTCAACACTCAAATGTTAATGTTGGATCAGAGAAAAAGTATATTAGAACCAAGAATGTTTCTATTTTATTTTTATTATGTTTATTATTCTATATCTTTATTAATAGTTTAAATAACATTTTTTATTTTTATTTTTAACAGTATGATTCTAATTTCAATTGTTATTCTATTTTTGATTTTCTTTTTCTTAACTTGAATTTTACAAGTTAGAAATACCATACACAGAACTATTAAAATATCTATAAAAATAATTGAATCCCGTATTTATTATCTGGTTACAATATTTCGTTTGAATAGAAAATGAGGTATTCAATGTTGTAAACAATGAAATGAGTTATTAGGATGGAGTATTATTTGTTGTAATAGACTGTGGGTATTTATAACGATGGTTGTACTATGTATTTATCAACATTCAAAATATATAGTAATGAATGAATTGTTTTGAATATATGACATATTATCAAGAAAATGAACAATACGATGATAATTGAAATTAGACGTAATAATATGGTGGTAAGGAATATATTCATTCATCATAAAATAAGAAAGAAAAGACTGGTTATTTTTAATACATAATAAATAAAAATTAAGCTAATATGGTTACTTAAATGAAGAATATTTAAGTTGATGATATTTGAAAAGACTTTAATTCAATGTAAATAAAAGAATGAAAAATAGAAAATCATACTTCTCAACAAGACTAAAAACAAAATAATAAGTTAATAGTCATTGATTAAACAATATTAATTACAATGATTTGACTAGTCTCACTTGATCAAAGAGCAATAGGAAATAAATAGCACAACTTAATTAATTATTTTTAATTATTTTATTATGTATTTTTGTTAATTTGTGATATTTCAAAACTCATAATTCATTGTTTAAAAGAAGTTAAACTATTTATTAGTTTATACGTAACACCATTAATATTAAATTAATGTGGTTTTTATGTTTATCATTTTTGAAAACATATACATTCATTGAAATAACAAATTAGTGAAAAAGTCAAATATAGTTTGATGGTTCAATATAAATGTCTGTTTGTAATGTTAAAGAAAGTGCCTTATTTTTTATTATATTTTCTAAAGAAGTGTAATGATTAACTAATAATAAAACAAATATGTTTATGTGTTTTTACAAATACTCTTATCATGATTTATTTGTAAACAATTGATATATGTTTTTAGCGAAGTATGTATTATAATAATGAATAATAAGTATCTATGATCACAGAAAAAAAAAATAAATTTTATCAGGAGTTTTTTGTTGTTATTGTGTTTGACTTGTACTTAGATGTTTCAATATATTATTATAAATATCTCAGAATATATTTTCCTATTGTTTTATTCATTCCATGAAATAACATGATTTAACAATAAACATTATAATGAAAACACAAATATGATGATTTGTGTTTAAAATATTATGATACATTAAAATTGGATACGTAATTATTAATTATTTATTTTTAAGAATGGAATACGTTATTAGTTATGTATTTATTCATTTATATATTATTATAAAGAGTTTACAGAATAAAACAATAAATTAATTTAGTTCTCTTCTGATGGTTTGAATTAAAATTATAAGAAGTGGTTCAATAAATATTTTTATGGTGCATTTGGCAATTACCTTTATAATAAATTTCAATATAAGGAAAGTATATCTTAAAATACGTTCATATAAATTATATTGATGTTGATCTCTTCGTTGGGGCTGTTCAACTCCTTCATTAGCAACATTTTCATGCAAAACCCAAGCTATAAACCAGAAGCTGTATAATACTATCAAAAGTATGACAACACCGATATTGGCAATTCCAATATTAACAAAAGGTAATTCGAAAATACCTATTAGTATTATGAACATAATAGCTAATATTCTAAAGTGATTTTTGAAGATGAATCTATTAAATCTTGGACTGAGAGTTTTCATAATAATTCATACCGGATTAACAAAAGTTATTGAATAATACTTAATATACAAAGAATTTCTAAAAATATTAAGGTAAATTATGGTTGCTAGATAAATTTTTAGAAAAGAGCTTTAATGCAACTAAAAACATTGGGGATTCTGTATAAAAAAAGACTATCTATTGATTTTTCTAAAAATAAACGACTTTGTTAAAACATTTGGTTGAGTTTTGAAGAAGAATGTAAGGAAAATTAAAGAGATTTAGAATTTATCTTAAAAGAAAATCTTTTGCTGTTTATTAAAAAGTAAAGAATAAAACAAATAAATTCAATTTTAGTGGATTGTGATTTTCCTGTTTCGTTTGTTTATGGCAGTTCAAAATAATCCATCTCATGGATTTCTGAATCGGATTTTTTTTAATAAATTCCATGTAAAAAATTAATGTAAAATATTTCTTAAAATAGTTAATTGAAATTGATTTCATCTATACTTATGAATTGTAATGTTATTTATTTATATTCAACTCGG